CCAGAAGGCCAACCATATCCTGGGCTGCATCAAAAGAAGTGTGGCCAGCAGGTCAAAGGAGGTAATTGTGCCCCTCTACTCCACCTGGAGTACTGCATCCAGCTCTGGAGTCCCCAACATAAGAAAGACATGGACCTGCCGGACCGCATCCAGAGGAGGTCCATGAGGATGATCCGAAGGCTGGAGCACCTCTCCTATGAGGAGAGGCTGAGAGAGTTGGGGCTGTTCAGCCTGGAGAAGAGAAGGCTCCAGGGAGAACTTATTGCCGCCTTCCAGTACCTAAAGGGGGCCTACAGGAGAGCTGGGGAAGGACTTTTTACTAGGGCATGTAGTGATAGGATGAGGGGGAATGGCTTTAAACTGGAAGAGGGCAGGTTTAGATAAAACATTAGGAAGAAATTTTTCACTTTGAGGGTGGTGAGGTGCTGGAACAGGTTGCCTGGAGAAGTTGTTGAGGCCCCATCCCTGGAGGTGTTCAAGGCCAGTCTGGATGGTGCCTTGGGCAACCTGGTCTAGTGGGAGGTGTCCCTGTTTATGGCAGGGGGTTTGGAACTAGATGATCTTCAAGGTCCTTTCCAACCTAACCCATTCTATGGTTCTGTGATGCCAGTGCTTGATCCAAGGAGGTAATTTAACCTTGTCCTAGTAATGCTGATGTTTCTGAACATTTTAAGTGGAAGAGCACAAATCATGTGTTTTGGATCCCTGTTGATTTGCACATAAGCTGTAAGTAAAATTGGGTATTGAATATTAGCAACTCCAGACATCACCTTAAAGCTGCAATAGAGGTTTCCAATATGGTACTTCAGTGGTTTTTTGAACAGTTCAGGAAGCATGATCTTGATCACTTATGTGGATCTTCCACATAGTAGACTATTCTCAGTTGTAGCACAAGCCTAAATTTCATTTTTATCTTATTGCCTGGGGGTACCATTCAGATGTTGACTCAAAGTTACTGCTTCACATGTATACCAGGAAAAAAAAAAGAAGGGGAGGTTTGAAAACAATGTCTGAATATTCACCTTCAGTGTAAGCCAGATAAAAACCAAAGCAGTCTGTAGAGAGTGGAGACAACTCGTACAACACATAGATTACAAACAGTGCATGTTTTGCAAACCAGTTAGTGGCACGATAAATCCCACTGAGGACAGACAGAAGTCTGCATCACTTCAGTCTTGTAATAGCTCATATCTACTGAGTGTTACTTACCTTTGCAGACCCTTTCAGAAATCCTTTGGTTTCAGTATCTTCAGAAGGTGCATATGAAATTTGGGAAGAGAAGTTGCTTTCTGGATTTGTACATAGAATTAGATTAATAGTAACTTTGTTATTTGATTGTAATTTGAGATTTCCTGTTGCATTTTTTAAGTCCTTTTCTTTCCAAGTGCTCTAATCTGTATTCTGCCACATAAGCAGTTTGGATTTGGTTGTCAAATGGTAAATGCACTTGTTTGTGCCAGCAGCCTGATTGCTACAAAGTGCTGGGGTCCATAACCTTGTTATAAAGGAACTCTCTTTCTCTTTAGCGTTCACTCCTGTATCGCAAATTTAATCAGGTTTTTTTTCACTTACAAGGTGTTTTAGATCATCATTAGTATTGATTAGATTTTTTTTTAATGAAAATACTGAGGAAATAATTATGAAGTATTTTTCAGAAGTGTGATGCTAAAATATTCCACAACTATTTATCTGTAGCACAGATAAAAGCAATACATTTAGTATTTTTATATGAAAACACATTATTTACAGAACTAAAAATACAGACATCACAATAAATGGGTAAAAGTGTTTCAACTTAGTAAATTATTAGGTTAATAATTTGTATCGTTTAAGTATTTTTATTCTCCTACTCAGAAATGGTCAATAAATTAGTCATTTCAATCCATTTTGTTCTAAAATAGATTTCTTTGCAAAATGCGTGTTTGTTTTGTGCTTTGAATAGCTGTCAGCTGATTTGCCACTTTTGTCTTACAGGGGTTATCTACTTGAAAAATATGATAACCCAGTATTGGCCAGATCGTGAAGCTGCACCAGGAGAGATTCCACCATACTCCATCCCAGAAGAAGATAGACACTGTATTCGTGAAAACATTGTAGAAGCCATTATTCACTCTCCTGAGCTGATTAGGTATGCAGTTTTAAGCTGTATATGAATTGGCTGTGGTTTCTGACTGTTGGGGGTGGTTTGGGGTTTTTTGGCACAAATAAGATGACCTGCGTGCTGAGCATCATTGTCATACACGGTGTATCCTAAGCGTAGAATTAATGGAGATGGAAAAACAGTTTTCAGCTTGTGCAGCACATAGAAATTTGAAGTTCCTCAAGTGAACACTATTAAGCAGAAAGTACAGAAAATAAACCTTCTAAGCAAAACTTGAAATAAGTCTAAGTTTGGGCAAGTTTCAACACCACAAGAATATTAAAATAACAGTAGTAACATATTTAATCATTGTGCGTTTGATTTCTAGAGTACAGCTTACTACTTGCATTCACCATATTATCAAGCATGATTATCCCAGTCGCTGGACTGCAGTTGTGGAGAAAATTGGATTTTATCTTCAGTCTGACAACAGCGCTTGTTGGCTTGGAATTCTTCTTTGTCTTTATCAACTTGTGAAAAACTATGAGTAAGTTTTTTTCTACCATATAAACCAGCAGAATGAATGTATTTGTGTTTGTTTTTTGTATTCTGTATATTCTAACCATGTAGAATTGTGCATATGATTATGCAAAGGTGACAGAAATCTAATTTTAGAAAATATTCTTGAATATTTGCTATGCAGATATTGGCTCATATATCTTCTCCACTAAGAAATTACAGAAAAACTGCATTCATTAAAGGTTTGAGATTAGAGAAAAGAGTGTTTTAAAGCCTTAATTTGGTAGTTGTTTTTTATGGACTGATAGCAATAAGAAAGTCTGCTCAAAATCATGACTTTTGTAGAAAAGGATTATTTATTTAAATCAGGTTTAGACTCTTAAACGATTTGTATTCAAGGTATCAGTGACAGTAAACACATAAAGGTTTCAAAGTGTGAAATCTTGAATATTAGAAGGTTCAGAATTAGTTGACTGACTTTGGTATGATTCTTTTGAAAATTTTGATAGTGTCATCCAACCGATCATAGGAAGTCTTTATCAAAGCCCACCATTTTCCTATGTGCAAGGCATTGGGCTAGGATACAGGTGGATGTTCTTTGCTCTGTATCTGGTATTATGCTCAGAGCTTTAAAGTTGAGGTTGCACTTTAAGAAGTTATTGTGGAGCTTAGCTGCTGCTGCTGGCATGTTGGAAGCTTATTTCAGCTGGGTCACGGAAAAGTGCAGTCCTGGAGTTAGGGAATTGTAGTAGCGAAACTGATGGAATACACAACTTACTCTTTCAAAGCACTGTCATGCATAACTTTTGTTGCAGGTACTTGATTTAAAATGTTGCATTGAAAATTTCACTGTCTAATTCCATGAATTTTACATAAATTAGTGTAACACAGGTGAATGTCAGTTCTCAAAAACCCTTTTTTACAGGAATACCATAAAGACCTTTGTAATTGTGTGTTGGAGTTTTTTCTGTGGCTGAATATCGCAAGTCCTGCTAGGAAAGGAAAATAAACTAATTTCTCACTTGATTTTTCAAATTAAACATCTTTAACCAAATATACAGCAGAGATCTGTGAGATACAAAACATGAAGTGTTCACTGGTAGTGTATTATCATTGTAGCAATCCTTGTTTAGGGAAGAATTTTGATACGAGCACAGTTAATTGCATGATTAGTTAAGGTAACGGGAGTGTTCATAATCTCTAGCTGAGGCCAGCAACTGCTCATACTTGTTTAGCTTTCTGGGTGAAGTCAACAAGGGTCGGTTTCACCAATCATGTAGGAATATGCATATTTCGTTGCATAACAATATGGGTGCAAGCAGCTCTGTCTAAAATTTGTTGAATTACTTATGTCAGTTTTGGAGGGAAATTTTTTTTCCCCTTAATATGGCTTTTCAACATTTTTATTTTTTTTTCTTTAATCGAGACAGTAAGACCAAATGGCTACTCTTTGCATAGTCATTTTTTCTGGTCTTTTTCAATTGTGTCTTTTGTGGAAATTAGAAACTGAATTTTCCTGAGCAACATTTAGTCCTTACATTTAGGTTTCTGTTTCAGAAAATACATGGAAACTATATTGAACAGGATTTTGGAGCTCAGTGTTCTGTAGTAGTTTTTACAGAACATGCCATCTGGCAGCAGATTGAGTAGACTTAATCTTATATTTTTGCAAATTCACACTGTTTAAGAGGCTGAGCGTTGATATTTAATATTAGTGAGAAGTCTACCAAAATGTATTTAAAAACAAAACAAAACCCAATCCCCCAGCCTAAAAAATCTCCCACAAGATTCCAAGAGTATTATAGTATTAATTGGTTAATCAGAAGATAAAGCTGTACAGTCTTAAAATTATATTTTACTTTGTTCTTAATGTCATCACCAGTATGGACAAGATCCTATTCTGCTGTGGTAACTCTTGAGTCAATAAGGACTTTTCTTCTTCAGAAGTTAAAAGGTGGGGGGAAAATTTCAAAATGCGGCTTCATTTCCTTTCAGGAATTTTGAAATGTTTTGCGAAAGGAAGTGGAGCCTTGTTTTCAGCGTAGGCAAATGGGTGGACTGTCACCAGCATGGGAAGGTCTGAGGCACTAATTCAAGGGGGGCTGCAATCGAAGCCTGCTCAGAGTCTGCCCCATAGCCTTGGAGTCTGCCTTCTCTGTCAAATAGTTAGATTTGGGCAAATTAAATGGTGAGATGAGCGATATCAATGATAAACTGTGAGTCCTCACAGTTTACTTTCTTCAGTGTCTGTGAAGTAATCTAGCTTCTGGAAATATTTTGATAAATTGTGAACACTGATAAATGTCTTTCTGTAATATTACTGACTAGCCCAGCATCTGCCATTCTTGACAATAAACGTGTACCTATTGCTTGCAGTTTTTGTAATGCTCTGATTGCTTTTCACTATCATAATGGTGTGGCTAAACATGATGTAGTATTCGAATACCAGCAGAAAAATAATGTGGATATATAGTGGAGTAATGGACACTCAGCAGTCTTCTAACTTGCCTTTTAACTCTAATATTGTCTGCCTATAGCTTTATTTCAAATTCTGTAACAAGAAATGGCTAGGGTTTGGGTTTTCTTTTTTAAATCATAGGTTGTTACAAACTGTAATATAACCTACCTGTGTCCACACTGTGCAAAGGTGGACATTTAAAATTCAAAAGCTACCTGAAAGCTCTACAAAACTAGTTTGTTCTTATGTAAAGGTACAAGAAACCAGAGGAGCGGAGTCCTTTGATAGCTGCAATGCAACATTTTCTACCAGTTCTGAAGGATAGTTTCATTCAGCTCTTGAGTGATCCATCTGATCAGTCTGTCCTCATCCAGAAACAGATCTTCAAAATATTTTATGCCCTTGTCCAGGTAAAAAATAAACTTCGAATATACTTGATCAGTAATTTAATTTAAAGCATTATACTTTTCCTTAAAATAGTAAATGACAGAAATATTAACAATATTAGATTACATCTAAATCATTTCCCCTACTACTCAACTGTGGTACAAATCACAGGTTTTTGGTGTGCTTGATTGTGCTGTACTTTTACTGTTGTACAGTGCTATTCCTGGTTGGCATCAGATAGAACTTATGCATGCCATCTTCTAAGGCGTAGAGTGTTTGCTAGAAAACTGATTTGAAAATCAGTTTTAGAATGACAGGTTGTAGAGGCCAGCCTACATAGAATTACCAGTGTAAATGCAGCAGTTTTGAATGAGATTATTAATATGCTGTTAATTGCTTCGGGAATTAGTGTAACATCCATTTAAGTAGTGTCTTAGCATTCCATAAGCAGAATGAATTGGAGTAAAGACCTCTAGCACCTTTGAGGATATTGAAGATACAGACTAGGTTAAGTTCTTTACCCTGGTTTTCAGTCATTTGCTAATCTAGCTAAGTGTAGACAAATGTTTGAAAGAGCTAAAATTCAAACTGTGAAAGTAATGTTATTTTCAAATTGCTTTACAATGAATTTATTTTGCCTTTTTTTTTTTTTAAAAATAAGTACACATTACCTTTGGAGTTGATAAATCAGCAAAACTTGACTGAATGGATAGAAATCCTGAAGACTGTTGTCGATAGGGATGTACCAGCTGTAAGTGGCTTTTGGCTATTCATGTCTTTAAGCTTAAATATTTTTCATTCATTAGAATGTTAAAAAGTTTACTTTTTTATTTCTGCATTCTTTTTTTCTCAATAGATGCCAAGAAAATAAAATTTTAAACTAAATAGGGTGTTTTAAACAGACTAGACAAATTTTGAAAATATGAAGTTTGTATGGGAGTTCTGTGGTTTTCAAACTATAGCACAACTTATTTTGACCTCTTGTTTCAAGAATTTGTTGACCGTTTATGCAGCATATATCATGGGATTTATTTTTAGATGTGCTTTACTTTATACTTCTAGTAAGCTAGAAGTGCAAACTGCAGGTTAAAAGCAAAATATGCTGTATAGTTGTTAAAAATACATATAATTTGCACTCTTTCTGAATAGGTGGTAAATAATCTTTTTCTTGATTTTTTTTCCCCCTAAAGGAAACTCTTCAAGTTGATGAAGATGATAGACCTGAGTTGCCTTGGTGGAAATGCAAGAAGTGGGCTTTGCATATCTTAGCTAGACTTTTTGAGAGGTATTTTCTCTTCCATTATTATTTTTAAAAAACCCAAACAAATATTAAAGTCAATAATATTGCTGCACTCTTGAATTTGCATACTTCTAATTCTAGGTATGGAAGCCCTGGCAATGTTTCCAAGGAGTACAATGAGTTTGCTGAAGTGTTCCTGAAGGCATTCGCTGTTGGTGTTCAACAAGTAAGAAAAACAATGTGGGGGATATTAGGATGAGTTTAGAGTTAATAGTGATTTCTTATTATTTTCTGAAAAAAGCTTCTTGTTCTTCACAACTGGGTTTTTTTTAAGCACGTTGGTGTGGGAAGCACTGACATCTGTGGGTTAAAAGAAAAGAAGGATTAAAAAATTATGAATTTGCCACAGTCTATGCAGCGCTGATAAATCTGTAAATAGAGTAAATGCTCTTATATAACAGGCCCTCCAATGAGCTTCAGGTAAATGCTATCAATTTTTCTCTTTCTGGAAGACATAGGTATAATATTTATGTGGTATAGTTACCTTTTTGCCTACCCTTTTAACTCTAATGATACGGTTCTTTTTTGACTCAAAGTCAGTAAATGCTAAGCTTCCTAGACTTCTGCAAAAGCTTGATCAAGAAGGGGCTAGCTTACAGACAGGTAAGTCTGATGGTCACTTTCTACTCATCTCCCTGTCTGATGGTTGCCACTTCTACAGGATTTTTATGCACAAAGCATCTTCTGGACTAGAGCAATTTCTAACGTGATGTATCAATGTTATGCCAGACCAGCCTTGATTTACCTTTATTGGAGTAACTTCATGACTCAGATAGTCTTACCACATGGCAGCAACCTACAGGTTTTCCTGAAGGGTCAGAATGGATTGGTGGGGCAGGAATTGTCATCTGTTTCTCTTATAGCGCATATGTTTAAAGTCTCAGTAATTTGAGCTTTTTGAACTAGCAAGAAAATTCTCATGAATATTGGGAAACCTTTTCATTCTGACTCTTGGCTCCTGGCTGTACTGCTGACTTCTGTTCTTTTGAAACAAGTTTGTTTATAAAAAATCTTCAAGTAGTTTTTGTAAAATTTCCTTGTATTGGCTCATAAATCTGTTTGTTAAGGTAATTAGGTTGTAAATGTAAACAGACTATTAATTTATGAAAATCTCAGGGAGCAGACTGTTTTCTTGAAAGCCTTTATTTTAATCAGGTTCAGACTATTACCAGTTACTGCTGTTCTGTGTGAGTGGTGATGAAGCTGCAATGCGTAGTCGAGGGACAAAAAGAGACTTTTCAGGGCCTTGGGACAGTTGGTAAGAGAATCTGGAAGACAGGTTATCTTTTCCTTTCTGCTTCCAGTTGCGGAGAGCAACATGGAAGAAATAGATGAGACTAGTCTATTAATACATGGCTCTGTGGCTGATGTCATCGTCACAACTTTGGGTAAAACCCAAAATGATTGATAATGGGATGGCCTATACAGCATCAGGCTTGCTGGTGTCAGATGGTATTCACCTTTCTCAAAGGAGGAAGAGGATCTTTGCTCACAAGCTCGTGGACCTCATTGACAGAGCTTTAAACGAGGCTTGAAGGGGGAGGGGGATAATATCCTTCTTGCCTATGACATGCCAAAAGTAGAGGGATAAGGTGCTAGCAAGGGCCATCAGGCTGTTGCTTTCTGACGTGCTGGATACACTGCAGCACACTGGAAGTCTAATGGAGATGAGCCAGGGGCTCCTGAGGTAATAGGAGCCAACAGGGAAACACCAGTGAAATACTGCAAAGGAATTAGGGGGCGTTCCTCTAGAGAGGCTGATATGGCCAACAGCCCAGCTGAAGCTCCTCTACACCAATGCATGTAGCATGGGGGGAACATGGGAGGAGTTGAAAGCCACTGTGCTGCTAGAAAGCTATGACCTAGTTGTCATTACTGAAACTTGGTGGGACGAATCCCATGACTGGAGTGCAGCTATCAATGGTTACAGGCTGTTCAGAAGGGATGGGAGGAAGGAGGGGCCGGAGATGTTGCCCTCTACATCAAGAAATGGGTAGAGTGTGAAGAGCTGTCTCTGAAGAAAAGCAAGCAGGTTGAAAGCTTATGGGTAAGAATTGGGGACCAAGGCAACAAAGGGAACTTGTTGTTGGTGTCTACTACAGGCCACCTGATCAAGGGAAGCCTATTGACGAAGCCTTCTTACTCCAGCCATAGGAGACATTGTGCTTGCAGGCTGTTGTCCTGCTGGGGGACTTAAACTACCCTGACATCTGCTGGAAAAGTGGCATGGCAAGCTGTAGGCAATGCCGGAGACTCCTGGAATGCATTGAGGATAACTTCTCAAGCCCTACTCTAATAGACAGCCCTACCAGAGGGGATGCAATACTGGACCTGATGGTCACCAACACAAGTGAGCTAATCAGTAACATCAAGGTTGGAGGCAGCCTGGGCTTCAATGATCATGCACTGGTGGAGTTTGCAGTCCTGAGGGGTATGGGTCAGGTAAAGAGTCAAGTCAGGACCTTGAATTTTAGGAAAGCAAACTTCCAGCTTTTCAAGCAGTTAGTCAATTGGACCCCCTGGGAAACTGCCCTTAGGGGCAAGGGAGCAGAACAGAGCTGACATCTTTAAGGATGCTTTCCAGACAGTGCAAGAGCCCTTGATCCCCAGGTGTAAGAAGTCAGGAAAGGAAGGCAAGAGGTGGGCATAACTGAGTCAAGACATGCCGGTCAAACTAAAGGGCAAGAAGGAAATGCATAGGCAGTGGAAGCAGGAACAGGTATCCAGGCAAGAGTATAGGGACACTGCCTGGTTGTGTAGGGATGGAGTCAGGAAGGCGCAGCTGGAGCTGAACTCCGCAAGGGATGCAAAGAATAATAAGAAGCACTTCTACAGGTGTGTCAGCCAGAAAAGGAAGGTCAAAGAAAGTGTGCCCCACCCCCCCCCCCCCCACCCCCCCCAATAAGCAAGACTGGCAAACTGTTAACAACAGGCAAGGAGAAGTCTGAGGTACTCCACAACTTTTTTCCCCAGTCTTCACTGGCAATCTTTCTTCCTACACCTCTTGAGTGGATGGACTGCAAGGCAGGGACTGGTGGAGCAAAATTTCTCCCGCTGTAAGAGGAAATCAGGGTCATG